TGACAGTTAACCAGGTCAACCAGACCAGACCAGTTTGACCAGTTTAACCAGAGCAGATCAGTGGTGATGGTCCAGAGTTTCTGGACAGAAATCTCTGCTGTTATTGAAGAGAACCATGTCAGTTGGTGATGGGATTTTACACAGTTCTGACACAGAAAGGATCAGTGGATTTAATCACAATTTGTCAAAAGTCTTGATAAAATCGCATCATGAGATAAAATAAATCCTGAATCCTGAATCTCATCCCGAGGTGAGTTACATTTTCATCCTTCCTGGAGAGTTTGTTCCTCCGAACTCTAACGCGGTCCGTCTTCACACTCGTCAGGCCTGTCGTGACTTCCTGGACGTAGCTGAATCTCACAGCCGGAGGTGGCAGAAGGCCCTGCATCATGAGCGAGAACAGCGTCACCATCTGGAGGAGACCATCGAACAGTTGGCCAAACAGCACAACAGCTTAGAGAGAGCCTGGAGAGAGAGTCCCTCCTCGTACACAGGTGAGGCGTTCGCCGTCAACACTTCCTGTCGCAAAAATCAATAGTCAATATTGGACGTCCCTAGTTTTTCCCCCTTAAGTCTAACTTTATGAACTGTGTGTCAGGAAGTGGTTAGGGTTAGTCAACACTGCAGAAAGTGTTTAATTTGAAACAGTTGTGTTTCCTTTTGTGGAGCGGAGCTGCGATATTTGAAGTTGTGTCAAGAAATGACCAAATCTTTTTTTAAATTATGGGCTTCACACTTCTGCAGGTGGTGTTTCCATCAGAGTAGAGTTCTTGGGGCCGTCCTTCAGACCGGATCGTCTGATTGGTTGTCTCGTCTAAAGATGTTATTTCATTTTTGTCAGAGTCAGACACGAGCTCTGTTTGTTGACAGAGGTCACTCTGCGTAATATCAAAATGTATAAAACAAATTAAACCAAAAAACTTTTTAATATATGTAATAAAAGTATTATCCCGTCTTATATCTCATTTACAAATATATTGATATAATTTAAAATATCAAGTTATCGTCCTGCCTTAGATTGTTTCTGATTTTTTTTTCTTTATTTGTGAGGATTGAAAAACTGTTTTAAAAACATACAGTTATTGAAGTTATTCACATCTTTCTTAGTACTTTTTGACCCAGAGTAGAACATGCTGGCGGCTGATCTGTGTCTTTGCCCCGTGTCTGCTGCAGGCGTGGAGGAGGGCGATGCCAGCGACGAGAACGATGAGGCAGAGTTCTTTGATGCCATGGAGGAGTCGCCTGCTTTCATCACCGTGACCACCAGTGGAGAAACACAGCACAAGTGAGTCCTGGTCTCCACGATAACCCCAGCAGTCTGGACTGTGTTCTCACTCTGTCTCCTCCTCCTCCTCCTCCTCCTCCTTCAGGCGCTCGGGGAGTTCTCAGAGTATGATGAGTGGAGGAGTGCCCAGTGACTGGACTCACCATGAGAACGTAGGCATCCCATCTTTACCTTTGTGCCGTGGCCTAAAAACCCGGGAAAATCCCACTTTACCATGACACTCTCAACACTTTCCCCCCCCGTCCCCCCCGCCTCCCTGTGTTTCGTCTCTCAGGGCACCAACCACATGCAGCTACGAAGAATAAGACGCAGCCGAATCCCTGACAAACCAAACTACTCCCTCAATCTGTGGAGCATCATGAAGAACTGCATCGGCAAAGACCTGTCCAGGATTCCCATGCCTGTAAAGACGCACCTGGTTTAAAGTTCAAAGTTCAAAGTTCAAAGTGTTATCGGTGGCCAATAACTGATCAGTCAATAATGTAGTTTGAACAAATAGATTGGATGATTAATTAGCCTTCATTTCTAGAATCTATGTCTATCATCCATCCATCTAACACAGCAGACAGACTGCAGCAAAGCCATTAGCCTATGAGCTAACCGGAGCTAACGCAACGTGTTCCCGCTAGTCTGGACGGTTTAACCTCGTCACAGGACGTCAACATGGGTTTCAAGACAGATGTTTCTACACAGCTAATTTCTTAAGTCTTTCAAAAGTTTACGTTCACAAAGTCGATGTAAAAGGAAGTGTGAAGCTGCAGCGGCTGTTAGCACCAGGCTAAAAGCAGTAAAAGAGAGGGAATGTTTCTATTGAACTGGTTTTGAAATGTCAGTAACTGATGAGTCAGTGAGGTTTTTTTTTTTTTTTGACCAGTTTTGTTTTGTGTCATTTATCATTTAGTCGTTCATAACTTCCTTTAGATTTAGAAACAAAAAGTACAAGTTGACAAAAGTGACACTGATCGTGTGTAGATTATTAGTTCTGACAAAACAGTTAAAAACGACTTCACGCGTCCTTAGATTTAAAGAAGTCCTTCTCTTTGAATCATTTCTCTTTGATTGCAGGTGAACTTTAACGAGCCGCTGTCGATGCTGCAGCGTCTGACCGAGGACCTGGAGTACAGCGAGCTGCTGGACCGAGCGGCTCGCTGCGACTCGTCCTTGGAGCAGATGTGCCTGGTGGCTGCCTTTTCCGTCTCCTCGTACTCCACCACCGTCCACCGCACAGCCAAGCCCTTCAACCCTCTGCTGGGGGAGACGTACGAGCTGGACCGTCAGGAGGAGTTCGGTTATCGCTCCATCTGTGAGCAGGTGGGCGGTGGAGCGACGTATCAACGACCGGAAATGAATTGAAGTAACAGGATGTGTGAGAATCAGCAGCTGAGCCTCACGCTGTCTCCCCCTACAGGTCAGTCATCATCCACCAGCTGCCGCTCACCACGTGACGTCACAGAGGGGGTGGAGCCTGTGGCAACACATCACCATCGACAGCAAGTTTCGTGGGAAATATATTTCTGTCATGCCGTTGGGTGAGAGATGTTCACACTCATTGGTTCCCAAACTTTTTGTCTTGTCCAACCTGTGGGTCGCAACCCAAATTCAGCTCCCTCGCCTCAACCTATACAGTCAGAATATTTAAAGGAAATGTTTATAAAAAACACAGTGACAGTTGATCAATATATTTAAATTATTTTCATGTCTAATTACATCAGTATGGGGTCAATTCTCCAGTAGGAGCGCCCCCTATTGAACGACCTAATAAAAATATTTAATAATACATACAGTTCTGTTGGTAACACACATGTTCCTCTTCACTGTAGGGAACATTCACCTTCAGTTCCACTCAAGTGGAAACCACTACGTGTGGAGCAAAGTGACGTCGACTGTTCACAACATCATCGTCGGGAAACTGTGGATCGATCAGGTGTGTTTCTGTAAAAGGCTTGGACAGTGAGGCGCTGTGTGTGTGTGTGTGTGTGTCTCACCGTCTTCTCCTCTGTTGCTGTTTTCAGTCTGGAGACATTGACATTGTCAACGTCACCACCAAGGACACCTGCCGTCTCAAGTTCTCCCCCTACAGCTACTTCTCCAGAGAAGTGCCACGAAAAGTACGTCTGGTTGAATCGCTGTTCACTGTGTGACCGGCGGCGCCCCCTCTGTCGGTCCA